CTTCACCCTTCATGACCACCACCCACGTGTCCATGTCATCCCTACATTTGCATCATAACGTCTTCACCACCCTAACCACGCGCATGTACACCTTCAATACTGCGCCCCCGGTCCCCTTTGGTGGGGCGTCATCGCCACACCATGGGGCGCACCAGGGACGCTGGGGGCTCCATGGTCGGACGGCGTCGGCCAATCACCGGCCGGTCATGGCAAGTTTCTAAATCTGTCAGCCCAAGAAAGTCATAACAAATATAAGTAGTAATGCCTTAGTATATAAGAGATTGAGTGATTTGGTGGGTTGGGATGCATGTGGTATGCTGGAGGTCTTGGGTTTAATCCTTGTTAGCAACATTTTTACTCTATGCCATGGTGTGGTGCACTACTGCCTTCACCTGGTCCACCAACGGTTTTGCCACGACGAACTCCTCTCTCATCTTTTGTGCATTTTTGGGCCACTATGCATTCCTAGCCCAACAAGACTTGGGTCAACCTCCTGCTTTTAGCATCCCCACTTAGGTCAAGACTTTCACAATCAAATAAGTCCCCCGGGGTCCCATGTCCTCATCACAAGTATAAAAGTAATTGAAAATAAAACACATTAAAAAGTCAAGTTCCATCGGTTTCAACTTTAACTTACTAACTAGCAAAATTTGTAATAAAAGAATAAGATAATTATCTAAAAGACTTATTATATCCTTCTCCCAAGACTTATTATATCCTAAGTTTACTTTTGGGTGCTAAAAGACTTGTATATTGTGCATAAAATGTTATACATTGCACATTTTATGAGCAAAATTGTCCACACTCACTCAATAATCATCTTGATTGGCGTGAGTGGCCGTACACTTTCATATTCCTTAAAAGAGATCGAGAGTTCAAAAGCCCATTTTGTATAAAAAAATCAATATGGTTAGCACTTTGTCATTAATTGAGTTTGTCTATTAAGGGACCCCTTGATCTGGATGGGTGTCTACACACCCTTCAATTTTCATGACTACAAGACAATGGTGAGAGCAACAACTTGCATTTTTTTTTTTCTTTCATTCAATCAATCAACAATTAGATTATGAAGATATCTCTTTCTATATATAGAGATATTTAGTATTTTTCAACCATGGGGAAGAATGAAAGTATTACTCTTTCTATATATAAAGATATTTAGTATTTTTCATTAATTAGCAATAATGCATTAATGTAACCCAACAGGGTAGCTCAAGTAAATGAGCTCTCTTTGTGGGGGAGAATTTCGGGATGAGAATTTCGGGATAATTCGGGTTCGATTCGTACAAGTGACGATCCCCTTTAGGCCAGCTTCTGTGCCTCCCGGAGCAAATCGGGTTAACCTGGACCGTTAAACGGACATAGAAAGACCCGGACCACAATGTATGGTTAACACCAAAAAAAATAATGCATTAATGTTATTGGGTATTGTTTCCCTTCTATAAATATATAGGGCATTCTTGATTTTAAAGACTAATAATGCATGGAAATTAACCAGACACACGCAAGCATTTATGGTGCAGGCAGAAACTGTTGCAGAATTAATTAATATCCAATACGTATAGTTCGAGGAAACCAGTTCCGGCAACTCTAACCGAGTTAATCCATAGTTAATTTGATAATTATTAAGATTCTAATAAGTCACAAAAGAGAACTCAATCATTCTTCTAAAGGTTGAACCCCAACCCTAAGGGCCCCCCACACCTCGGCCCGACAAAGAGAACTCAATCATGCACATACAACATGTACATTTACCTCAAATGTTTGTTCAACTTTAACCCAATAAGATACAAAGTTTCTTTTTCTCTTTAGTTTGAGTTTCACTTAAAAATCACCATATCTCTATAACCCGATTGCGTCTATAAACGAGGCTATTTTTTTGGGGGTGTAGCCTAGGATTTTTACCGTACCTCTATTGAGTGGGACAACTGGCCTAAAAATTTAAGGTTGCTCTATATCTAAAGTCAAGATTGAACCCTTGACCTTTGGTTAAGGATGAAGGAGTCACTTCCACTCAACTATACCTTCCAAGTTATAAACGAGGCTACTAATACAACTATAACTATTAGATGGAAGTCTGGAGAATCAAGTCCAACATTTTGCCATCAACCCTAGCTATTATACAAGTATTAAGAAAATATAGTTATGTATTCACTACTAGTTATAATTTTTGAAGTAATGATAAATGTTTGATCTAATAATTGGTATTGAAGCAGGTCACACGAAGAAAAACATTCATGCAAATATAAGAGGAAACATTCACGTAAATATAAGAAAATATAGTTACGGTGTCCAATTAATATTGGAGCAGGTCACACAAGTTTCATACATTGATATATTTATTTATAGAGAAGCATTTTTTTAGGGGCAAGGACAATCACAAGTGCCCTCCACGTGAATGTCTTTGCATCGATCACTGTCACTGATTGCTACCTGTGTTTGAATTTGAAGATAAAAGTGTGAAGGTCGTGACGTGGACGACATAAATGAATGATTTAATGTTATGTGTTGTAAAAGTGATATATGTTCCTCGTGAAATTCCCCTTCAGCATTATACCTTATTCCAACTTTGTTAGTTTCATGATTAAATATATATATATATATATATATATATATATATATATATATATATATATATATATATATATATATTGGAATTAATGAGCCCAGCTGAGTTAGCTAGCTAGCTAGCAATGACTGACTGCCAGATATCGTTTTGGTGGGAGTTGGCAGTTGATTAACTGTAAATGACAATACAGTTTAAGAATTAAATGATGAAATGCAATCTGATCTGTTTCTCCGGCGGCCGCCAGAGGTTCTTTTAAAACTGGTGGATTAGGAAGAACAGACAACCTTGCTAACATATTATGTGTATGTAATTAACATATTATGTGTTAAATAGTTAAGTATACGTACAAAATATATCAATTGCAAACATATATTTTTGGACCAAAGTTCACAAAGATAGATTTGGTCCATGGTATAACAATTGAAGAATGGTTTAATTTTAATTGACTACTCAAACTTGAGAGAGTAAAAATTAGCAGAATAACAGTTGCAAGTGGGATCCGTTCGTAATCTCCTATGTAATAGCCAACAAACGGTATTAACAATTTAAGAAGAGCCTATTATATGCGATGACTCGACCGGACAAGAATAAAGTCGTGACCTTTTAAGTAAGAAAATCGTATTTCTTCCTATCACTTAACTTAACCTACGTACATATTAAACAACACATTTCATGGTTAAGCTTTCGGCTACACCAACATATAATAATAATTGAAACCATCTAGCCACACACTTCTACCGTCTCTGTAGACCTCTCCTAAGGCCGCTTCTTCTAACGGCCCCTCAACACTACTATAAACACAAACATATATGATGTTGTTAGACTCCATTTAACCAGTAATATAACAACTACATAACGAAAAAGTATATATTCCGGCTCGATGTCATACTCTATTCATTAGATCGACCAACTCAACTTAAGTAGACATAATAAACAACCCATATTTCATTCATTAAGCTTTAGCCACACCATCATATATAATAATAATAATAATAATAATAATAATAATAAACCATCTTGTCACACACTTCGACTAGCGGCCACTTGATGCTACCATACTTGTTGACCATTCTGAGATTGTCGGAAGTCAAGCACGCTTAATCAGAGCTTTATGGTACCTGGTTTCCATATTCTACTCAAAACCAATTGGTGATAAGTAGGTGGACATTAATCATTTAACCACATCTCTCCATGGTAAGTCACAATGCCACGTCTCGAATCGAGCAGGGCTGAACTCGGCCGACGCCCAACACTACTATCAACCCAAACAACAAATATAGGTCCTGTTTGGTAAAAAATTGGCATATAGGTCAATTTTGGCTTATTTGACCACTATTAATTGTTTGATTTAGTTAAAATATCAATATAAATGTTTGGTTAGTTAGCTTTTTGCAACTCCAAAAGGCTAAAATTCAAAAAGCTACTCCAAGCAACTTTTTCAATTAGCTTTTTGAGAAAAGAAATTATACCAAACAGCTATAATTTACCAAACAGTTTTTACAATCAGCTAATGTTATCAACTATTTATACCCTTAAATTAACACAATCAGCTAACCTAACAGCTATCAGCTAACAGTCATTCTACCAAACAAGGCCATAATATTTTTAGATTTTCTTCTTCTCTCTCCCTCCACCCTCTCTTACTTAGTTTCTTTTCTTTTTTCTTCTTCTTTCTCACCTTTCTCTCCTACTTAGCTTCTTAAATATTCTGCAAAAAATCAACCGATGTAGATGCTCTTAGAGGGGTCCACTTCATCCTACTCGGAGACGCGGCCGCCGGCGAGAGTAATGAAACCGACAAAGGCGTGTCAGATGTAATGAAAAACGAGTTACGGAGTATTATATTTAAACACATGTCGCCTTCCATGCAGGGTGGATAAGTCAAATGGCATCAACTTGGCTAGTCCACGTGGAAGATGAGATGGAGAAGATTCAAAGGATGTTTCCACACATCAAGGCACGTGGAATTTAACTATAAAAGTCAAACATTAAAAAAAAAGTTTTTTTTTTCCCTAAAAAATGGTTGAATGTCTTGCTTGAAGAACTGTCAATTATTATTAGAAAACTCTTCTTAAAAATTTGTATGATCCACACATTTATTATACATATAATTTACTAAAAAAATTATTGATATTTCGTCTCTAAATAAAAATATTACGTGTAAATTATATTTAGTTGAGATGGAACACATTAATAGCTATATGCTCAACACGCCCCCTCACGGACGTGGTCATAGTCGTTTATCGGGTGACGCAGAGATTTGGGTCGATACCAAATTGAAACATATGCTTCATCTCACCTAAAAGTCTAAGTTGATAGTTGGATTGCATATTAATGGCTATATGCTCAACAAGGTGGCATATGAAACTCTTGACAAACATAACTATTTGCCATGCATATATATATCAACAACACAACTACTGGGCACTTATAAACTGTAATATTACTTAAGCATATAAACTGTAAACATCCTAGTACCAACAAAAGATGTCACTTGCCTATGTCAAAATAAGATAATATATACATCTGCCAAACTACCATCACATTATAACCTCAAAATCATAAATTAAAAGTATAAGACAGGTAAATTGGCAGATAGCAAGTGCATATAACCTGCAAATCTGCAGGCATTGTCATCTATGAACATCGCTGTGTTTAGATAGTATTATCGATGTTATCTTCCTCGTCTTCATCATCATCATCGCTAATCCATCCATAGCAAGGTTTACGCCTTCTTTTCGAAGATGCAGAGTCTGTCTGTGGAGGAGCGTATGCGGGAGCAAAGCCAAAAGATACAGAATCTGTCCGAGGAAGAGAGAATCGCGTGGGAGCAAAGCCAAAGAGAACTCGCCCCCGGTGTTGCTGCTGCATATCGTCCTACAAAGTAAGACTTATGCTAAGAACAAATTGCATATCTGCATTGACTCCAAAGGGTATCAAGAAACATCACTGGCATTCTGAGGGTAAGATGGAATTGAAGCATGTCGCAACGGCTAGATGCTCAACACGCCCCCTCACATGTGCGGTGGGTGGGTTCCAAGCAACACGTGGACCGCAGTCACGGCAAGAATCGAACCCATGACCTTTGGTCTGGCTCTTATATCAAATTGAAGCATGTTCTTCATCTCAACTAAAAGCCTAAGCTAATAGTTGGGTTGCACATTAACGGCTAGATGCTCAACAGATGGATATGAACAGTTGAGATATAAGGGTGGAAAATGTTTAAATTCTAGATTTTTGTGTAAAGACCGTGACAAAAAGCAAAGCTATGAACTAGTTTCGCATTCAGTAAAGCTGTAATCAAGGCCATGCATACACTCGTGTTTACCTGTCAATTGTCATACACTCATACAAAACTATCTCGAGCAGTACTTTTTTTTAATACCCGGGAACACAGATCACACCCTGCTGTCAAAAGAGAATGATGGCCAGGCGGGGTCCAACTAATTTGGCTTTTCGAAAACCACTTTGTGTATAAAATGGAATTTCAAAGAAGTCCTTAATTACAGTTCTATAAGTGTTAGTACTTATTACCTACTCAATTCTTTATGTTTCTGCCTTCATTAATACTTCAGAGATGTCTGCTTTTGTCTGACTTTCCATGCTAAAACTATAGATATCCAATCTAGACATCAACATTTTCCCCTCCTATCTTTCCTTCTCTATGTTTCCCACAAAAGGAAAAATCCCTTCGTCCCAGGGCCCCCACACCCCGGCCAGGGGTAAATCACGTGACTCAACGGCCCATTAGGTAGGAGGACCAGTGCCTAGTGTCCATAAAGAGCCCACTATATTGGGTGTAATTCCTACATTATAGCTGTCAGGGCTCGATCCTGTGTCTTTGTCCACTATCTTCCTTCTCTATGTTAATTTGGTTCCCTTGCCCTTATACACCAAAAATTGCACAACTTCATCCTTGAAAAACCATTTCTTTCTTCCCAGTTTAAGAACACTCAAATCTAAATCTCGATCTCCCACTAACAAATTCACATAGTAACACAATTTTAAAAAAAAAAATGCTAAAAAGGGGAGAAAATACCGTCACTACGGAGCTGATAGTATGATCTAGACCTTTCCCTTGGTTATCCATTTGGTTGTGAGGAACTTCAAGTTCATTAATGGATTCAACCCCATCATGATCTCCACACTGTCCTGCCTCTGAACATTCTGTATTTCCCTGCAAACCAGAACATTCCTGGGCAAGCTTTTCCCCAGGATCATCATGCTCGTGATCAGATTCCTTTTGTTCACTTAACATCACCTCAATCAGAACTCTGTATGCTCCATCCTCAATAAACGCCCATCCCTCTTCTCCATACACCTTAGATCGATAGGATCATAGGAGAAACCGAGAAAATGATGAAAAGTTGAAAACTTTACAATTTTAGACCAACGAATAAACCATAAATGTATGCTCCAAAATGGAAAAAAACAAAATATTAGGGTTATGAGTTCAAACGCAATTAACGAGGAGCAAAAGACGAAACCTTGAGGAGTTCTTTGACTGATGTGCGAACCAAGTGATCGGGAAACCCTAACGGGCGCATTGCATCAAGCGCGGCGTCTATTCTGCGCAAACCCTTCTGCGGAAAATGTTTAAAATCTCAAATCCAAAAATCCGAGCGATTAAAAACCTGCCTCTTCTGGATAAAGAAGGAGAATTCTAGGCCTATTTCTTTTCATTTTCCAAAAAAAAAAAAAAGTAAAAAGGAGACACAGAGTTTGAAAAGTTACCTTCGGGCGCTTGTTCCTTGGCGCCATAGCTGAGAACTCAGCAATGGGCGGAAACGCAGAAGAGCTGACGGGAAGAAGAAGAAGAAGAAGAGGCGTGGCGTTGAGAGAGACTGTAGAGTTGGGCAAGGCGGGAGAAAACACGCACTGTACTGTTCAGTGTTCAGTACGTAACAGGAATAAAACGGAGTATATTTTTATCAAAACACTCATCAGTCATTCAATCACCGTGGACTTAAACCGCGTAAGTTACATTTTCGTAATTTTAAATTGAATCACATTCCAGGAAAATATTATTATGTACTCTTATCTTTTACTCTCAATTTTTATTCTTACGCACAAGATATTGATTTAGACACTTATATTGAGATCTACATGAAAAAATAGCTTATCAGAGCACGTCCAGAAATAAAATTAAGAGAGTAAGAGTAGGGAGTACATGTATTAAAACTTTTCCACCGTTTATCTTTTCATCTTAAAGTTTGGGTTCAAAAAGAAGAATGATCTGAAATCTAGTTTATTTAAATAATAAATTACTCAATCCTGTCATATTTTATTTGTTTAATTCAATTAAATAAATTTGAAAGTATATAACAGATATTACCTTGTAATAAAGTCAGCAGTACAAAAAAAAAAAAAAAAAAAAAAAAAAAACTTAGACTGAAATTATTTATAATTTAATATTTTATTAAATTAAATTTAATACTTGTATAACCACACAAAACCAATGAGTGCATGTGTCATCATGAATGATTCCACACACGACACAAATTGGATCAACATCCACCCTCTTTATAATCAAATTATTAGTAGTGGGGAGGATATCACTTTAGCTCTCCATAAAAAAAAAGTCTTCCACTTTGGGGGTATTTTTAGCTTCCATAGGGTAAGCCATTTATCAAAAGCCCACATTACTATTAGCATCATAATTCCTAATAATGAGCTTGTAGCCATTCTTCACATTGTGGTTATGCAAGTTTCATATGGGCACAATCTAACCTTCCACTTCCCAATATTACAACAAATATTTTTCATGATTGGTTTAATGCAATCTTAAATGTTCTAGACACTAATGGAATTATGTACGCAGCTACTATTCTATATCATATTTGGAGAGCGCGGAACGAAATGGTTTGGGATGCGTGTCTACCATTACCCCGGAAGATACTTGCCACGGCGACAGCCACACTATACACATGGAGGAAAGTACACGATGTAATGCCCAACGCACCACCGACTGCTGCCTCGGTCGAAGGATTGCCGGCGGCCTCCACGGCCAGACTGCCGCCATTCGCTGCTCCAAATCACGCTGACGCACTACATCACCGGAGATGCTACGTCGACGCCAGTTATCGCCACGCCACAAACTCGGCCACAGTTGGAGTAGTATTGCTCGATGCGAATGGTGGATATATCTCGGCGTACAGCGCCCCGCTTCCAAACTGTTTCTCACCACTCATGGCCGAAGCATTTGAGGCAAAGGAGACACTATCTTGGCTACGTGCTCGTGGAGAGCAGTTTATTCATCTATACAAAGATTGTCATACACTGTAGTGCTATCTATCCTCGTCGGATGACCCTCCCCGATCTTATACTGGTTATGCTATTGATAGTTGCAAGACTTACATCTCGGCATTTTATGCCTGCTCAGTTCTTTTTATTCTTAGATTGCAGAATTATTTAGCACATAATTTAGCTTCTACTGCTTTTTGAACAGGCTACGGCTATGTATTGGGACTCTGTCCCACCTGACTCTATTTCAGCTTATATCTAAATATAACCACATTGGTTGCCTTAAAAAAAAAAAAAAAAACAATTAATACTTGTATATAAAATTTGTATATTTAAAAACCACATTAAAAATACCATTAAACAAAAATAATAATAATTTTAAAACAAAAAAAAAATATTAAATAAAATAAGAAAAAAATCTTTAAAAAAAAAAAAGAGAATTCATTTAACTAGTGCATAATAAACATTATAGATAAAATGAAAAAGAGGAAGTAATTTTTTTTTCAGAAAAGATTCAAAATAGTCACCAAACTACATACAAAAGTGTAATTAAAAAAAAAATTACAATTAAGTACCTCAACAGTCTAAAATTATACAATTCAACTAAATTTAACATGTTTCTCATGTTATTACTGACATGACGAGATTATCTATAACTAACCGTCACAAATCAAAATGACTGCAGTCACAAGTTTTTTTATCCTTTGCATTCTAGGTTTGGGATTACCCCCACATGTAATCTTTTTAATTGATACACATTACTTAATAAATCAATGTGAGGTTATCCAATTCACTTATAATTCATTAAAATCTATCTATATCTATATAAAAATAAAATCAAGAGTTCCTAAGATCTTAGATTCTTATCCCATTCTTTCATATCATTTTCAGGGCAAAAAGACAATTCTGAGCCTACTAAGAAACTGTCACCATTTCATCTTCTTATACATCTTTATACATATTCTGAACACAAAAACATAAACAGAAACACACAAGATACTACAACATTAACCCCCAACAGAAAGTCAGAAAAAGCATTAAAATCTTCTGTGATGAAGAAAATCTTCTGATCTTCCTTCTATGTATGGTGATTGGTTTCTGGAGACTTGTGCTTGCACTGATAGCATTTCGCGAATAGCCCGAAGGTGTCGACTTGCTTGATGAAGTTGTTCATGCTTGCCCACCCCCCGAATCCAAACCCGACGACTAAAACCCAAACCACAACGAATGCGTTCAATACATACACAGCGGTCCAGCTCGGTAGGAAGAACGGGGGTTTCTCTGCTGCATTCTGGGCAAAGGGAAACGTAACAATTTTATCAGATAAGAAGCGGGCAGGAAAGAAGTACAAAATTAGTTGAAAAAGATTGAACTTTTAGAAAATGCAGACTTATGGTACATCGTTTATGTGCTGCAAATCGACAAAAGTAGACAAATTTCGTTCAACTAGCTCAGATTCAGAAGGGGTAGGCTTAAGGGGGTCGGTGGTACCAAAACTCGGGATGTGTTTCTGGGTAGCTGAGCTTGACTAGTCTCGAAAAGCTTCAAAATCTGATTGAGATTGCTAAAATCCAATCTCTAAAGGTCACTATAGGAGCTATCTTATCTCGTGTTCACATGGTTCGAGCATAATTAGACTAACTTAAAAACGCTATGATTCATTGATGACATTGTGTCCAATAATGGTGTTAGAAAGGCATGTGAGGATGATGTCTTATCAAGAATAGCACCTAGTTAATGTATGGGTCTGATGACCAATAGAAATAAAGGGCCAGAAAGGACACATTAATGCATCGTTTTATAAATTTTTTTTGCAATCACGCAACTTGCAAATACTAAATACTCATCGGGTTTCAGTTCAATCATGAAACACGTACGACAAGGATAATGAGCAGTGGCCCGGTTTGGGCAAGGCCAGCAGGACAGTAAGTACAAAATGAAGTAGAAGATAAGACGATTGGACTGCATACCTGCCGGGCCGACGCCTTTCTGTATGTTACCATGTGTGCGAGGGCGGGGATGATGTAGACGGTGAAGCTAACTAGAAGTGCTCCCACAGCGGAGTTGATAGGCCCGAAGAAGGGAAATATGATGGCCAAGAACCATATCGGTATCACCACCGGTAACCTCGCTAGTGCCCTTAAACATATGCTCTTCGTGTCGTGCATCCCTATCACTTTCTCCCAAACAAAGTACAGTGGCGTGCAAGCAAATCCGAACGTTATGAACTGTCAAAGGAAAACAAAAAAACGGATCACAAATCACAAACTCTCAACTCTCAAATGACAGTTACCAAACTGAAAGCTTCGGTGAAGACCTGGTGGATTAGCATAAGAACAACAGCTGCATCGCGAAAACCGTTTTGGGGAAGGAGTGCAAACGCATTGGCATTACTGAGAAGCTGATCACCGTAGGCCCAATACATGGCAGCAGCAGATGGGATCGTTAATGTGAAGACGTAAAGGGTGGCGAATAGATATATGTACTTAAACTTTTGAGGCTTCCACATCGCGTGCATGATTTCCCTGCAAGAAATCAAGATCATCTCAAAACGTGTAGATGCAGGGCTGAAATGATCATAATATTTCAGTCAAATGTATAATTACTCGAGCCATAAGCAAGGATTCACATTTACTAGTAGATTCATTAATTCTCTTATCGGAGGCTATCAAGAAACGAATGTGGAATCTTCAGATATGAGTGATAATTAACATTAGAATTTACTCACACAGTGACAGCATGCCCACCGAAGGTGTAGAGTATATTGGTGGCTCCGGTAAAGTAAAGAACCATTTTTTTCGGTCCACTGTGAGTAACACCTTCAACCTGCATAGCCATAGAAAACACCAACTCAGTAAATTTGCCACAACATTGTAAGATAATGCGGGTTTTGTCAATTCAATTGAAGCATGTGCTCCATCTCAACTAAAAGCCTAAGCTGATAGTTGGATTGCAACACGTGGACTACCTTTGGCATAGCTCTGATACCAAATTGAAGCATGTGCTCCGTCTAAACTAAAAGACTAAGCTGATAGTTTGATTGCACATTTATGTTTATGTTATATTATATGCTCAACAAATTCACCTGGCCATGAACGAAGGCTGCAATGGTCAAATACCACGCGGTATATGTTGTCATTCCCAGTCCAAGAAAGGACCATATCCTATAGTTGTGAAAGGAGGGGATGAACACCGTCGTTGCACAACAGGCCCCGAATATGTATGTCCATGTCCTCTTGTCCAACCGGTCGTTAATGTAGTATATATTACTGCAACCCACCAAAAATTATCACTCAACCACAACCCAAAATCAGAGAATCTTCTTGATCGTTAAACCGATAATAATGAGAGCATTTATCATCAACACAAACCTTGCACAAGCTATGAGCTGAATGACAGAACCAAACAACAGGAAGGTACAATTGAAGGCCAGGCCAACAGCTTTCCATTTGGGTCCCAACAAGCCATCCAACACCTCAAACCACTAGATACAAATATAATAAACACATGTATTCCTCAGAGACATTGCATATCTATACAAATATACAATAACTGATTATAAAACATTAGTCACATACATGGATGATGTTTTTTAATGTTAATTAATCAATAGTAGCAGACAAGGAAACAAACAACCACTGTACTCTTGAGAGTGTATGCACCGGGTAAACCTTGTGACCTAAAGACTAGCTCTGAGAGTCAAACTTGTAACATTATTATAAATACTAAGTCAAGAAATTGACCATTTTGTAACATTTGGGTTACTACTATTCTTAAATTTTTTTTTAATGGAAGTATTGTTTGGAAGGCTAACCTGGATAACATGGTTCTTGAAGCTGACATTCTCTTTTTCCTTTCTGGTTCTGTACTCAACATACAGTACACTGATAAGATAAGCAGTCCAGCTTCCAAGAATGCCATAAAAGATCTGAAGCAAAACCCCTGAGAGCATCCCCATTTGAGAAAAAGAGTATGGCAAAGTTAAAAGAACCTGAGCCACCTGCAGAAACAGGACCAGAAACCCCAAAACTCAGAATATTTATACTTTTGCCCCAAAGGAATTTAAAAACATGGAAAAGTTTAGAAACCTGATTTGAAGCACAGCTGAACCAAGCATCATAAACAGACCCTCCATGCCAAAGAAAGCTCTTGAAACCAAGCATAGATTCTTGTTGAACTCTCCCTTCCTCTCTCTGATCATCTACCTCAGTTTCAGTACTCATAATCCCAGGAACTATTGCCTCTTCACTCTGTCTCTGTGGCTCCATCTTTTCCTCTCAACCCCTCTTCTTAAACACCTAAACCTGCAATAAAAACCCAACAACCACAAACCAATTCAGGAAATATCAGCCCCAGCAATTCATCCAAAACAAGATAAACACTCCACCTTCCAAGACTGAAAATGGAAGAAAAAACTGGACTTTATACTCTTTTAGGCTTGCTTCAATGGTGGGTTCATGCTAAATATACACCACAATTCCATAAACGCTAGTAACTGAAACTATGGGAATTGACAGATGGCGAAACATCCATAAAAAAATGCCGCATGTTTCCTACATTCAGAGCAAAAACCTGGGATTCCTCTGTACCTTAACCACACGAAAAATGCTTTCACATACGCTTCTTCCAAAATCACACCGCCCAAATGCTATACGGCACAGCTCGCGGTTGGATGGCCGTTACAACTTCTTCTAAGGAGCGCTGTTTCCATTGGGGCTATAAATGCAAGCAAAAACAGTAATATATTATTATCTCTATCTGAATATTCGCAGCTGACGGCGGCAGAGCAATTATTATTAAATGTGGGGAGTCTTGAAATCTTGGAGGGGATAAAAAGACGAGATTTTTAAGAGTGCAGAAACGAAACGAAGCGAAAAGGCTGGCTTATTGAATACACTAACGCAGCCCCCCTAGAGCTAGAGAGAGGGTAGAGAGTAGAGAATCAGAGAGAGAGAGAGAGGTGAGGTGAAATCACTCTGTAAAAGAGAAGAGAGAGTGATAAATGATTATGAATGAAGAGAGAGACGGTGAAATAACCCATGAGTGTGTATGGACCCAACGGGTAATGCAGCGAATCAAGCTAGCCTCGCATGGGAAATTCATCGAAATCCATAATTTTTTTTTATATATGAAGAGATAAATTTGCTTTCACTCTTGAATGTATAGTGTATACCATGGACCAAAGAGTATAACTTTTATGGAAATTTTATCAATATTCATAACTTTTTTTTATATGACGAGATAAATTAGTTGTCACTCTCAGTAGTTGTTATACTATGGGTCAGGAAGTATAACTTTTATGGAAATTTCATTAACATTCAAGAATTTTTTATATATATGACGAGATAAATTGGCTGTCATTATTGATCGATGTTATACTATGGATAAGGGAGTATAACTTTTATGAGAATTTCATCAACATTCATAATTTTTTTTTTATGACGAGATAAATTGGTTGTCACTCTTGAGAGCTGTTAAAGCGTAAGCTAAACATTGGTCCTAAATTGTGTATTTTTAATAGAAAATGCTACATGTACTCTCATTTTGTACTTTTAACTTGTACTTCCACACACAAAACATTGACGTAGACACTTGTATTGGGACCCATATGAAAAAAATAACTTATCAGAATCCGCCACATAAAGAAGTAAAATTTAGAAAGTAAGATTAGGGAGTACATGTAGTATAACTCATTTTTAATATTGAAATGGTGTACTTTTAAAGAGTAAATACCAGCGGAGGTCCTCTGACTTTGGTGGCACTGCCACTTTTAGTCCTCAACTTTTAAATCAACCACTTTTAGTCCTCTTACTTTTTGTTTCTAGCCATCTATGGTCATTTCGTTAAACTTGACTCTCTAATGCCGTTTTCTAAAAGATAATTCAGTCCTTTCATAATTAATTTATTAATTATTGTGTTTAATTTCCTCATCAGAATAGTCAAACAATGGTTTCCCAGCTATGAACGTGTACAAAACCAGCTCGTGAATCAAAATGGCGTACAAAAGCTGGTACGAAGGTTGTGCCAAAACGACGTCGGGATATCTCTGTATGACTCGACAAACATAATAATTAATAAATTAATTATGAAAAGACTGAATTATCCTTGAGAAAACGGCATTAGATGGTCAAGTTTAACAGAAGGACCATAGATGGCTAGAAACAAAAGGTAAGAGGACTAAGAGTGGTTGATTTAAAAGTTGAGGACTAAAAGTGGCAGTGCCACCAAAGTCAGAGGACCTCCGCTGGTATTTACTCTACTTTTAAAATATAAATTGTGTTTCTAAATTTTGAGAATTTGTAAATACAATATATGGTTATCATAAATTGTAAATTTTTAAAAAACAAGTTATCCCATTATAAGCACTTCCTTTTATTTTTGGGAAAGACCTTAGGGCAACCCCATCCATGGATTTTGTGATGGTTTTTGTAGAGGAAAAAGTTTGAGGGTAGGTTTTTTTTTTTTTTTTTTTTTTTTTTTTTGCAAATGAGGAAGAGTTCTAAATGAGTTTTTATTGTAATGTAAGTGTGTACTTTTTGTGGGACTCGTATATGGAGGAAAGAGAAAAAACAAATGTTGTGTGTTTGGGGCAAAGTCACCCTACTGGACAAGTAAAATGTAAAATTATAAACTTACTCATGATCATAAGTAACTATTATAAATGATTTTAGTAATTTATTTTTGGATACATCATAGACGAAAAATTCAAATGACCTAAATTACTTAAAATCTATTTCATCATATTTGGACATCCGAAGCATCAAGCCGAAGTTGTTCTTCTAGATTGTCTGAGGGGTGATACTTCAGCATATATCAAGAATTGAAATAGTAGCAACACGAGTTGCTCAGATAGTCAATTGATTATTGATTTTGTTAGTTTATTTTTTTTTTGGTCGTTATTTATTAACTAAAATCCTAATGCAAACTTCATCTAGAATATACATTTGAGTAACAATTACAAACTTTGACATTAAAGAATAGATGGAATGAATTATGAAAAGGATGTAACGAGGAGAATACTCACATAGTGCTGTATAAAATGTGTTGCAGGTGGCAGTGATGGAATGATGTTTTAGTTCACACTCTGTATGTGTCATTCCCAATCAAATTGATTGTCACGTTTAATCCCTGTGACTTAACATCAATTAAAAACTGATCTGTCTTGTTTGATTGCGATACAAGCTCATTTCAAGAAAATACATAAAATTTCAAAATTTTCTACTACTAAAAAGGTTATCGAACACATATAATTTTTAGTATGAAAGTCAAGTGTCTTTTCGACTATTTTGAGAATTCGATATATCTTTTTATTGTTATTAACAATCACTTAATAGCGCTCTAAGTGAAGCCTTTTTAGAAGAAATATATATGGCTTTCTGAATGAAGTCCGACGAACTTATGTTGAGACAATTTCAACAATGTATCAAATTTAAAATTTTGTACATATAAAGTCAATTGTCCAACCAAATTGACTTGAATTGTCGATTTAAAAAAAAAAAAAACTCTTTATTTTTAATTCATGTTGTACTATTTAGAGTTATAAATTTTTATTACAAAATTTGATGTGAATAAACAAGACTACTTTATCTTTTTTGGTTTTGTGCAAGAAGATAGAATTATAGGTGGGTAGTATTGATGCAATGGTCAAAAAGATAGCTAGAAATGATATATGCCTTTATCAAGTGCTACACACAATCCGAGTCGAACCATGAGGGCAAAAAGGGATGAAAATAAAGCCTACCTACCTATTCGTTCTTTCCCCAAAATTAATTTTATTTTGGTACTATAATTACTTTTTCTTCTTCTAAAATATTGAATCCATAACTTCAAGAATTCTCACACTCCGACCCGACAGAGTATTATAATTCACACACTATTATTGTTGATATTTGAATCTTGATCTCTTCTTATAAATATGAAATAAAGGTCAAATAGGCCACTGAACTGCACACGAAAATGCAATTAGGCCACTGAACCTAAAAAACCTACAATTGGGTCCCTAAACTAACCAATTTCATTCAATTTGTCTATTTTTCAAGTTTCTCAAGTTGCTAACAGGTTACCCCTCCACCTAGGATGTATATGTGGCATTTTTTAAAAAAAATAATTTATTTTTAAATTAGTTTTTTTAATGTTCAATAAATAAAAACTAAAATAATTTTTTTTTTGAAAATAAAATAATTTGTTAAGACGTCGTACATGGCTTGGATTTTATTTTCAAAAAAAATTATTTTAGTTTTTATTTATTAAATATTAAAAAAAAATAATTTAAAAATAATTTATTTTAGTTTTTATTTATTAAACATTAAAAAAATTAATTTAAAAATATTTTTTTTTTTAAATGTCGCATATGCATCCTATGTGGATAGGTAACCTGTTAGTAACTTGAGAAACCTGAAAAATAGACAAATTGAATAAAATTGGTTAGTTTAGGGACCTAATTGTAGGTTTTTTAGGTTCAGTGGCCTAATTGCATTTTCATGTGCAGTTCAGTGGCCTATTTGACCCTTATTCCTATAAATATTGTCTACTGAACCAGTGAGTTAAATCTATGCATGCACAATAATTACTTTTTAATTTGAGCTTTGATGTAACCATATTTGGAGAGTTTTCTCCTAACTTGTTAATCCATTCGTAAGGTTCGAACATAAAACTTTATTTTTAAAATTAATCCTGATCGATAAAATATTTTTTAAAAGTATTGAAATATGTGTATAAAAGTGAGTGATTTGGTATCTTTGGAGTCCTACTTGGTATAAATATTATTAATTTTGATGTATAGACATAATTGACAAGTTAAAAAAATTCGTGGTCAAATAAAAAATCGATGTATATATGGGTTAATATTTCATGTATATATGTCTTATATTGGAACTTATCTATTGAATCGAATTTAATTTGATATATCACTCTCAAAGTTTACAAAAGTTAAATTGGGTACAAACAATAAAATTCATTTTAAAAATATCACGTTGCACAAAAGTTTAACCAAGTTGTATATGGAAATTCTAAATTCAAGATTAACGAGAATATAATAATTTTTTTTTTAAATAACTTATGAAGATTACTACAAATAATAATATAATTATATATCCTCCCTAGCTCCAAAAGATGTGACATTTGAAGAGAGAATCTAATAGCATCAACCAAGAACAATATAATATAAGATATGAGGAAGGCATACACACAATAATAATTGAGTTTGGAAGTATAGGAATATATGAATGGCCCAATGGAAAGAACAAGACTAGATGGAAAAGACATTAGTAGGAGAATGGCACAATTTTATTTTTGTAATAAAGAAAATAAAAGAAATTATTGAGGATTTGGGCAAGCTTATGCAAGAGTGATGAGTGATGATGTTAGGTAAAAAATGGTGAGCATCGGCAAGAATCCTATCATTAATTAGCAAAATGAATGGAGGGGCCTTCTTCTCACTCATCACCTCTCTCCCTTTATTTCCAATTACTTCATCCTCCATGTCTCCTTTGTCTCTTTGACCCTTGACTCCTACTTACATACTTAGGTTTGTTACCACACTCTCAAAAAAATATAATGCGCGTGTGAGTGAAACATGATTTTCTTATATGATGTGCTCGATCAAGATAATGTTTACAATAATTAAATTTGTAACTTTCAGATACAAGAGTAATGTTTTACCTACTCATCTACCCTTTTTGAGGTTAAAGTGGCTTTCATAGCCACTCAATGAGGTGCGACGGATTTCGCATGAGGATGTTACTGGAGCCTCTATGCTCATGAAAAGTGCGGGACGCAAAAGTCGACTTATGTGTAGAGTGATCCCTTTCTCTTAATTCAAAAAATTATAAATTTATGGTCCTGTTTGGTAAATGGATATTAGCTGATAGCTAATAGTGTTAATTAGAGTGTATAACTAGTTGATAACATTAGATGTTGTATAAAAGTGTTTGGTAAAGTAGCTGTTAGCTAATAGCTGTTTGGTATAATTTTTTTAAAAAAAAAAAAAAAAAACTAATTGAAAAAATTGCTTAGAGTAGCTTTTTGAATT